ACTGTCCTTGTACCCACATGTTCCAGCAGTCATACAGCTTGGCTTTTACCCAAAGGGGTTGAAAACTTGGTGCAAAAACCTGCATACAGACGTCTGTAGCAGCTCCATTTGTAATTGACAAAACTCGAAAGTGGTTAAGATATCCTTCAAGAGATGGATGGATGAACAGTGGAACATCTCCTCTGCACTGAGATAGAGCTGTCAAGTCAGAAAAAGACATAGAGGAGCCCTGTATGCCTGTTACTAGGTGAAAGAGGCCAATCTGAAAGACCTACATAATGTTTCCAGTTGTATGACATTCTAGAAAGGGCAGACTGTGGGGAGACAATGGAAAGCTCAGTGGTCACTAGGACGTACAGAGGAAGAAGAAATAGGCATGGGATGGGGGATTGTTAGGGCAGTTGTTCTCTGTGATGCTGTAATAGTGGATATGTGTTCTTCATTAGTCCATTCTGAGAATGCGCAACACCGAGATTGAAGCTAATAAATGCTAGGTCAGTGTGGGTTCATCAGGGTTTAACAGATGTACCGCTTGGGTGGGGGAGGTTGATATGGGGGTGCTGGCGCTTGTCCAGGAGCAGGGAGCCCTCAGGAATCTGTACATTTCTCTCTGTTCTGCTATGAATCTAAAGCTGCTCCACAGTGGTTTTTTTTTTTTTTTTTGTTTGTTTGTTTGTTTGTTTGTTTTTGAGACAGAGTCTTGCTATGCAGTTTGGGCCAGCTTTGTGCTCACTTTTGTAGCCCCCAGGTCTGTCTCAAACTCATACACTCCTCCTGTCTCAGCCTCCTGGGTGCTGGGATTATAGGTGTGCGCCACCACGCCCAGTTCTTCTACAGTTTTTTAATGAAATTTACATGTGCAGTCTCTCTGAGCACATTTATTTCCATTAATCTTGATATTTAATGGAGAAAATGTACTTTGCAGATAAAATTAAAGTGAGCTATTTAGACTCAGTCCCGGAAGCATCTGTGCACACCTCTGGGTGCTGGCAGCACAGCTCAAACAACTGAGCCCTTTTTTCAGCATTTTGATGGAAAACCTAAACCTGAACATGTCCATGGTGAAAGCACCTCCTGTGTCTGCAGAGGAGCGCTGTCCCTACCAGATGCACTCATGGTCAGGCATGTCTTACCTGGTACTAACATCCCCACACAGCTTCTCCCCAGCTGTTCTGGTGCCAGACCCCACTGATGAAGTGGCCTCATCAGTGTGACAGAGGTGGCTGATGTCTTCACAGGAGGCCCTTCTTTTCTTACCCAGATGGCCCCTTTCCTTGCTCCCCCCACCCCGCGCACCCCAGCGGGTTTACCAATATCCCAGATACACCTCTCTGAGAGTCCCGCCACCACCAGGAACTCCTCAAAAAGGGGGAAGTCTGAAAATTCCCTCATGCTTTGTAGAGCTGCAGAGCAACTGGGCATGGATCTACCCAGATGTATTATCCCAGTTTTTTTTGTTTGTTTTGTTCTATTTTCTGTATTTAGGACAGGGTCCACAGGGTCTCACAAGTAGCTTACACTCCTAGTGATCCTCCTGTTTTCAGCCACCCCAGCACTGGGATTACAGGCACATGCCACCATGCCCAGTCTCAGTTGCTGTCTCAGTGCGCCCCCGGCATGTCAGGCTGGATCGAACCCTGGCCACTGTGTCTGCCTAAGCAGGCGCTTTAGTCCACTTTGTATTTTCCCAGTTTTTATTCCAGTCTTTTGCTGTTAATGGTGATGCGGAGAAAAATGCTGGCGTATGTCATTTCAGAAGTATCTACAAAATAATGTTATAGGAAGAGAATAGTGAGGTGGGAGAGCATATGCATTTGCAATTTTATTAAATGTTGTCAGTTTGCTTTGTGTATAGTTTTCTTCATTTTCCCCTGTCATCATAATTTGTGTGAGAATGCCTCTTACACATGCCATCTTTAAGATGGTGTTATCCTAACATTCGATCTTTTTAAAATCTGACATGTGATCAACAGTGGTACCTCATCTCAGTTTGCACAGGGTTTCACTGTGTAGCTCAGGCTGGCCTTGAACTCAGGATTCCCCCAGGCTGGCCTCCAACTCACAGGCATCCCCTGCCTTGACCTCTCAGTGCTGGGGTCACAGGCAGTGTCGCCACGCCCAGTTTCTCCCTTCATTCCTAATTGTGTTTCTCTTCATTTTGGGAAAAGTGAAGAATTTTTTGTCTTTAAGTTGCTCTCCCCGCTACACCAAACTTTGGAGATCTTTAAACTTTGGTGTTCAAAGAATGTATCATGGCATGTTTGTGTGGGATGTTTTGGTCTTCAGTTGTCCTGGGCAAATATTTTAGTGTGTCCTTCCACCTGCAAACCTGTGTCTTTTGAAAAATTTGTTCCATTTTTCTTCATTTCCTTTCTTTTGTTTTCTGTTATTTTCTCTGGAGCATTTATCTTTTTTCATTTCTTCATTGACTTCTTCTGCAGCTTTGATTTAGTTTGTATTGTTACCCTTTTATTTACTTTTTTAAAACTTAATGGTGGTTCCATGAAATTGCAACAATAAGAGCAAACCCTATCACACCCTGCGGGGGGCCGGGGGGGGGGGTTCTGGGAGTGCCCAGCCGGTGGGGACATGGCAGCAGGGACGCGGGATAGCAATGTGGAGGCGCTCTGCCCAGTGTGTCTGCTCAAAAAGTCCATTTTCAAGGGAAAAGTTTTGGCAATCATGTTTTAAATACTTTCACTCTTTTAAAACATTCCTTTCCCCTGTCAGTGTAGTGTCATCAATTTATATCTCTAGGTACACAAAGTAGAGCCTTGAAAATGCTCTCTGCTATTCCTGACACCGCAGTCTCATGAGCTGTTGTTTTGCTTATCTCATCTTAGTCTTGTAGGTGGCCAGAGAGACAGTAGAAAGCTGAGAAGGAGCTCTAAGTAGTGAGGCAGGTCGAGCAGCGTGACCTGAATTATGCAGGGTGATGCTGGGTCCCAGCCCCTGAACCTCTTGGTTCTAGGGCAGCAGGACTCCTGGTGTGTGTCTGAGCTCTCTCCGGTTTGTTTTATTCCTTCCTGATCTCTCCTCTCTGAAGAGGCAGGCAAACACATAGCTGCTGGCTGGTTCATAGCCTATAGAGAAATTTTGAAGAAAGGTATCAGCTGATCCCAGCAGATATTTAAACCATCCCACCTGTTTGCAGCCTAGTAGTTTGCTTCTTCCCTGATCCAACCAAGTATAGTTCAGGCTTTAGCTTCCTAGTGGTCCACTAAGCCATGCTGTGTGGCGCATCGGGCCTGGACTGCTTCCTGGGCCTTGCTAGCCCACGCTGCTCTGAGGCCTTCCTCCTTGAGCTGCCCCTTCCTTCTGCCCTACCACTTCACACTTCCTGCAGCATTTTAATGCAATCTCAGGAAAAAAAAAAAAAAAATCACATGTGGCCTGTTTGTTACTGGTGTGAAGTATCTTGTTTCTTCAGACGTTGTTTTCTGCTTGTATCTTCCTGTCCCCTTTGGTTCTATTATTAACCCCTTGATTTGATTATAATAATTGATTTTGGCAAGGACAGTTAGTGTTACACCTCCTTTATACCCACAGAGGGTGACTTGACCAAGACCTTAGAACTTAAAAGTAGTAAAACATGTAATCCTCCAGAACAGTGTTGTAGTTTCTCCAAATCAAATCTACTTTTCTGTTGTTCAAGGGTCTGAATTGGCATGTTTGTTTAGAGGAAAAGTTTAGCTGAAGTTTATCCTGGAGCCTGACACCCACACTTAGATGAAAAATTTATGGTTTTAGTGGTTGAATAATAGTTTTAATCTTGCTGGCCCGTCTTAGTAAGGAAGATAATTGCTTTTTAAAGAGAACATTAATGACAGAACAGTGACAGTATTTGTCATAGTCACTTTTTGCTTTTTTATTTTGCTGTTATTCTTTTACTAAATTAAAAAGTAGTGGTACTGGGAACCTCCAAGTGATACAGGGAGAAAAACTGACCTCGCAACCTAAAAGATACCTGGGACGAGTTTGTGTTCTCTAAAAATGATGAATTTTAGGAACAAAAAGAGGTTATGAGCAGAGTATATTTTTTGAGGGAAAGAAAGCTCTTGTCCAAGAGAGGGACAGGAGGGGGGACCCCAAGTGGGTGGTCCCCGGGAAGCTGTTTCTTCCAGGGACTTTTATAGAAGAAAACCATGTGGTAAGGTGGGTCTAAGGTGGTGGAGAAGACACAGGAACTCACTTAGGGGGGCATGAGGTGGGACAAAACTATGGTCAACCAGTGAGATTACAAGCACCATTGCTCAGGTAAAATTGGTTAAATCCAGACCAAATGGAGAAGTGAGTCATTTAGCAAGTGGGCCTGAATACTGGGCAGGGTCTCTTCCTTTTGGGGGTTGGGCTAGTGACTCATTTGGGCTCTTTCAAGGTGATCAATACCTATTTAAATATCAATCCCTGATGCCCATCCCTAGGGAAGTATGTAGCTGTGTTTCCTCTTTTTGTCTTGGTCTTGAGGTGTGGCCCAGATGGGAGTGTCTGTCTCTTCCCAGTTGCAAAGTCACCTTGTCTTCCATCTTGTCTCCTTCAGGACCTGTCCCTGTCTGACTGCCTATAATGTATCTAATTCAGCTGCCTACAACAGGAGGGCTAAAGATCTAAATTCACCAAATATTTATATTATCTCTATATAAACTTTAGCCTTGATTAATAGGGAAGTTTTAGAAATGGACCTCTTTAAAGAAATTTCAAATAATTCTTTACCAACCTAGTCATTTAAGTATATGTTGGTTTGGTAGTTAATTTTTCATTTTAAAGTGATGATACTATAGATATTCTCATTTTAATTACTTTTATTTAAATGCTGAGTGTGAGAGTAAATATATGATCATCTCATATGTACATAGTAGAGAAGACCACTATTTTTCCGACAAAACTAATGTCAAGAATATTTCCTTGCTTTGAGATCATTTACAGAAGTATAATTAAATGGTTAAGAAAGCATGTTCTGGATAGGCGTAAAGATCGTATCTTGTCTTTTTTAAAAATAGGAGCAGATGTCTCAAGTATTAGATGCCATGTTTGAAAAATTGGTCAAAGAAGGGGAGCATGTAATTGATCAAGGAGATGACGGTGACAACTTTTATGTAATTGATAGGTAAGTTTTGTCTGGCCTGACTGCTGATACTTATGCTATATTTTGCACAAAATCTCAGCGGTTCCTGTGACAGCTAAAGCATTAATATATGATAGTTGCTATTGCTCCATTATTCTTACTACTTACTGCATAACTGGTAGTAAAAACTTGTGAATACATATGATAGAACCATGTTCATTATGAAAAGAGGCGTGGTTTATAGAGAAATTGATGCTTTTTGGTTAGTCTATAAGTCTCAGTTATTAATATGAGCGTCCTTATTTGGTGAATTCAGTTTGAAAAACAATATGTAACAGTATGTAGCAGATGCGTATTAATAATAAAAATTAAAAAATAATGAGAATAGAACTAAAATGCAGTGCCTAGGAAATTAGAGTGGAACTTAATCTGTATTACTATTTTTTTTTTGAAGCCGGGGATTGAACTCAGGCCCTTGCACTTGCCAAGCAAGCACTTATTCAGCTGCGCTATCTCCCCAGCCCATGTATTACTATTTTTAATGAGATTTTTTTTTTTTTAAATTTTATTTATTTGTGTGTGTGTGTGTGTGTGTGTGTGTGTGTGTGTGTGGCCAGCTCAGCCCACCAGGGGGTGGCGCTGGCTGGCATGTGGTGCTGGGGGATTGAACCGCAGTCCCTGTATTTGCTAAGCTTGTTCTAAGTAGGTGCTTTAGACCACTGAGCCATCTCACCAGCCCCAATGAGATTTTTTTAACTGAAAAATAAATACACTCATGATTAAGGGTTCAGATATTTCAAAGGGCATACAATAAGAAAGTCAGTCTTCCCTTCCTATTACTTCATCCTCTTCCAGGCAGTAGCAAACAGTTTGTGTGTGTCTTTGACACTTTTGGTGCAATGTTTTATTTGTCTTTAAAGAACTCCTTAAGAGGGCCAGAGCTCAGGGGCATAAGCATCTGCCTGGCAAGTGTAAGGTCCTGAGTTTGATCCCAAAAAGCACCCCTGTAAGAGAGAAACTATTTTATTTAAATAAGGGGGTATGCGTTGCTACAGCAAGTCTATAATTTCAGAAAATTTAATTTGTGTTTACTTCATCCAGGAACAGTGTGCTTTGCATGGTGGGTAAATGACCAAATAGGGAAGCTGTATTGGGTGAATCTGTATTTCTTTCCTTTTGTAAAGTGAAGATGAAGCATCTGTGTATTACAGTGGGTATCCCTAAGCTCTGTAGATGGACTCCCAGCCTGACCATTGGATGGGATTTGCTTCATTGCGCAGGGTGTGAGAGGCCTTGCTAAAACCACACCTCTTCTAAGCCCCGGCCTTATTTCCTGGCTGTGGCTCTGTGGCAGTGTCTCCTACATCAGTTGTGCATACTCCTCCACTCCCTCATCCCCAGTACCCAGAGACCTCTTCCCAAGGCACTCACCAGGATTTTGAAGTAGAACAGAACCAGTTATCCTCTATGTACATCAGAGTTACAGGTTTGGTATTATTAACAGCTTTCATCAGTGAAGCAACTTAGAAATTCACTCAGCTGTGATTAGTGGAAGGGGACTATGGGACCCTAAATAGAGTGTGTTGGTAGTGTTTCTTCAGAGGTTATTTTTATTGTCAAAACTGCCTTATATTTGAATGTAGTTTGTTCACTACTCACAGAGGAAACAGGCACACAGAAGCGAGGGCTTGGTTTAGGTCACCCTGCTGGGCAGTGTGCAGATGCCCTCACCACCACATCCACGGCCTCCCTCTAAGCCCTTTCCCAGGGACTGTGCTGCTGTGGCCTCACATTATCAGGGACGAAATCTCATTGACAATCAGCCCACAGTATTTTAACAAGAGTTAAACTGATGCAATTTCAATAGAAGTGGTAGTTTGCTGTCCTCATCATTGCATTTTGCTGTACATTTGATCCTGTTCACAGTGGTAAGTGTAGAGAACAGTTTCGGTGCAAAAGTATAGTTGGTATAAATAAAAGAGTTCAATTTGTGTTTGAAAAATAACTGATCCATGGAGCAAATTCTAGAATGTATCCTTAAAACGGTGATTCTGCCCATGAATTACATTAAACACCCAATTACTGTTTTCGTTCTTCTTCATTGATATCTTTTGTGTTATCTTATGTTTCTACCCTTCTTATTTTGCTATTATTTATGATCCTTTCATAATCCTAAAAGTCACCACCTTTCTTGCCGCCACCCCTCTGTTTTGTCTTTGCTGAGCATTTGCCCACAAAGACCCTTTGTGTTTTCTCAGATGCTTCAGCAAGGTTGCTGCCCTGTTCCCTGATAAAATACAGTATGTGGAGAGGCAGCCCTTCTACTCAAAGGACAGTGTGCACAAATGTAGACCCTGGATAATGTGGACAAACAGTGGAGTCTTGTTTGCCTATAAAAACAACCTCAAAACAAACAAACAAAAAAAAAAAAACAACCCTCAATGAAAAAATAGGCACAGAAAAATTACACATTTTAAAGACAAGGATCCGGGGCCAGGGAAATGGATCAGTAGAATAAGCACTTTCCTGGCAAGCACAAGGGCCTGAGTTCGATCCCCAATTCCGCCAAAACATTAAAAAAAAAAAAAAAAAAAAAAAAAATACAGACAAGGATCCTATATTCAGCTTGAATTTCTATCACTTTTTATCTCTAGACTGGGAGTTGATCTCAAGTTAAGGGCTAGATTGTATAAAGAGCCAGACAGTAAATATTTGAGGTTTTTGTGGACTAATTTTTTCTGTTGCAACTATTCACCCCTGCGGGTATGAGCAAACCACTCATACACAGTGCATAAAGTAACAAGTTTGTTTGTATTCCAATAAAAGTCTATTTAAAAAAGAAGGTAGCCAATCATTGGGCTGATCCTGCTATTATAAAGTCTTGTAGTGAGTTCCGTAGAGTAGGAGCTAACCAACCTGTTATAGTTATGTTCTTTTTTAAAACAAACCATTTTCTTCTGATCACAAAAATAGTACTTGATCACCCCCCGGACCTCCTCACTGCTCTTATGCTGTAAGTACAATATGTGACATATATAGTCTTAAATCTTTGTCATGTATTTTATGAAATTAAATTTGTGTTGTTTGGTTCCCTTTTCCAGTACACATAGGCCCCTACTCTAGTCTAGCTAGTGGTCTCCTCCTGCTGGCTGGGACAGATTGATACATATTCGTACCATTTTATTGTTATTAGAGCAGATAGGGCAGAAGTAAGCTTTTGCTACACAGGACTCATTTCTGAAATAGTTTAAGTGCAATGAGATTTTATTTAAATTACCTTTGCCTCTAATTTACATATGTGCAACAGAGGAACCTTTGATATTTATGTAAAATGTGATGGCGTTGGAAGATGTGTTGGTAATTACGACAATCGTGGGAGTTTTGGCGAACTGGCCTTAATGTACAATACACCCAGAGCGGCTACAATAACTGCTACCTCTCCTGGTGCTCTGTGGGGTTTGGTAAGTAAAATATTTATTTGACTGAGTTCTGTTATTTGTAAAAGTCATTATGACCACAGCCAGGTAGACACTGTATTTCACTTTTAATAGATAGATTTATTTGGACTCATTAGTATCAGGGACTTTACTAAGCAACTGCTGGATACTGAACTGTTGGGCCCTAAGACTGAGTCAAGCTTTGTGTCCATACCCCGTTGCAGTCAAGGCTGCAGCTTGAGATCTGCCAGCCCCAAGGAAGAGCCCAGATCTAAAGCGCTTCTCTCACCTGCTCTTACAAACAGACCTTCAGACAAAGGCATCGGTGCTTTTCCTCAGATAGCTTTGTGAGTGCCACACTTCAGCCATGTAAATGTGGGTATCCCAAAGTGCTACCCCAATACTGTGTCTGTATTGCCTGGGATCTTTTTAAGAATGCAGTCAGGGACTCCTTGCACTGCCTCTGGCCTGTGAGTCAGAGCCTCTGGACGTGGGCCCTGCAGCCTGTAGCTGAACAAGTCTTCCAGGTGAGTCTGATGTGTGGCTTCTCATAGTGCTATCACTTACTGGTAATACCTTTGTACTTAAGAGCAGCTATGGGCTGGCGAGATAGCTCAGCAGACTACGCTTGCTTAGGCAAGCACAGGGACTGGGGTTCGACTCCCAGCACCACATGCCATGCTGGCTGCCCACCGGCGTGCTGAGCCAGTCACTAGACCAGGTATGGTGGCACATGCCTGTAATCCCAGCTCTGGGGAGGCTGAAAACAGGAGGATCACTATGAGTCCAATCACTATGAGTCACTATGTAGTGAGACCCTGTACCAAATACATAAGAAAAAAGAGTGGCTATATACAGCAAAATGTTTCTTACCTGGCTGCACATCAGAATTGCCTTGGGTTTTTGCTTTGTTTTTTCCTCTTGCCTAGACCCTACCACAGACAGATTTAATCAGAATCTCAACAGTGAGCTCTAGACTAGAGTATAACTTGAGAATCCCTAATTGAAAAAACAGAAATTCTCCAAAATATAACACTTTGTAAGCACTGACAAGATGCCACAAGTGGAAGATTCCACATGACTTCATGACTGGTCACCGTCAAAACACACATTACAGATATTTGCTAAAATTAGTTTAAGACTACACAGAAAAGGTGTTAGGAAGCATAAATGAAGTTCATGTTTAGACTTTTTCCCCAAGATACCTTGTTATATATGCAATATCTCAAAACTTGAAAAAATCTAAAATCCAAAACTTTTCTGGTCTCAATCATTTCAAATAAGGGTTCTCAGCCAATGCCTTTAAAGTAAAATTTCAATGCTAATACAAGACTTACAAGTTGGTTTAAAGACATACTGTATTTGGGGAAGAAATAGAGTAGGGAGGGAGATTGCTTGCTCGTGTCGTAGTAGATTGCAGAGGATCGGCTGCTACTAAAGTTGAGGCTGAAAACTTGGGTCAGGTGGTGGTTCTCAGATCTTGACAACCTGCAGCTCCCCCGTGGGTCTGCGTGCAGAGTTGGCCCCAGGGCCTGGGCGAGGCCTGCGGTCTGCCTTCTCATCAGCTCCCAGAGATAGCAGTGCTGCCGGTTGTAAGACCCCCTTTAAGCAGCACGGATGTAGGGCAATGTTCACAACGCGTGTATTTGCTTAAAACTGCTGAAAACAACCCACCCTAAGTAGCCCAGCTTAATATATGTATTTATTTTTCTCAAAATTGTTTTATGAAAAGAGAAGAGATTGATATAAGTAGGAAGTTTGGTAACTGTCTCATTTCCAAGGCCTGTAGCATTATAGGATTTGCACATTATTTAGCTCAGCGTTTGACTCTCAAATGGATTCAGCTGATAAAAATACCCTGCTCTGAAAAACCAGACATTTTGCATTTTTGTCTATTAGAACAAGGCAGCTACTGTATACTTCCTAAAAATCAGATGAATTACTTTTTTTAATTGTAGAAGAAAATTGGAGTTGTCTCAGATGGAAGGAAACTTGTCATCTGAAGTGTTTTAAGAACTCCCTGAGATGAGTCCCCAAAGCCAGTAGAGAAAAACCACATGAGAGCAGATCTTGGTTCATATTAAGTTCTGCGTGCCCTCGAACGGCGCAGAGATCTAGCATCTGCTGTGACCGGTTCTGTTGAGGAAGGTACAATCCCAGCATGAGTTGTCCCAGTGGGGTTGCCCACCTAGATCAGACTGTCACCCAGTGAGGAAGCTGCCTTACTAAGATCAGCCCCTTTCAATATTGAGTCTTCAGCCCTGGTGGAAAACACTTAAGTAGAGAAGCTCAGGATTTCCAAGGTTGTATAATACTTACGCTCCCAAGAAACATTTTAAAGGCCTGGTGAGATGGCTCAGTGGTCTAAAGCACCTACTTAGAACCTACTTAGAAGCTGGCCAAAGCACAGGGACCGTGGTTCAATCCCCCAGCACCACATGCCAGCCAGCCTCGCCCCCTGGTGGGCTGAGCTGGCCACACACACACACACACACACACACACACACACACACACACACAAATAAAATAAATAAATAATAAAAATTAAAAAAAAAACATTTTAAAGTAATATTTGGGAGTCTAGATAAGTTGCTAAAATGTAGAAAAGGGTGCAGTTGGTGATAATCATTTTTTCGTACATATGTAAGTATGATACCTTTTAAAAATCATGCTAATTAACAAAACTAATATTTTAACCTGATTTTTAATAGCAACTCACCTAGCCAATGCTTTCTTAGGGAAAGTTGAGTAAAAAAGAAAATTTTAAGGTTAACAAGGCTGGAGCTCTGTATAGATTTGGAAGAATAAAAATAAAATTATAAGAGAAAAGTTTTTATTGAAGGCCTCACTCTGTATTTGGTTACTGTTGGCCTTAATGGATCAGCTGATCTACATGGCCATTATTGAAATGACGAGGATGAAAGTATTTCAAATTGAATTTTGTGTACTTTAGATGTCACAGCAGATGTGAAGAGAGGGCTTTTAATAGGGAATTCTTCCCCAAAAAGTTTAACCCTTGGTTGTTCCTAAATTACTAAAATATTTCAGGTCTTAACTATTTTGCAATAAACTATCCATAAAATGGTTGTGTACTTGGTTACCAGATGTCGTACAATCACAACCACTTTCTGATTCTGGGGGACTTTCAATAAATTAGAGATTTTTAAGCATGGCATGTAGAGATTTTGATCCTACATTAAAGTCTAGGATCTCAGAAACCATTATAGCTGATTCTGTTGCACAGCCAGATTTAGAAATGATTTCAGTATTTTTGGGAATTCTCTTACAATAGTGTCTCTTTGAGAAGTTATTAAAACTCTAAATCCAAATTACAGATAGTGTCAAAATGGCAGTAAACCTAATTGATTTATTTATTTATTTTTATTTATTACATTTATTTATTGTGTGTGTGTGTGGCCAGCTCAGCCCACCAGGGGGCGGGTCTGGCTGGCATGTGGTGCTGGGGATCGAACCGCGGTCCCTGTGCTTTGCCAAGCTTGTTTCAAGTAGGTGCTTTAGACCACTGAGCCATCTCTCCAGCCCCAGTAAACCTAATTGAGGAATAAGTGGGCTGTTTAATTTGTTAGCTAGCCTCTTGGTCTGATGGGCTGCTATAACAGACTCTGTAGAATGGGTAGCTTACCAGACGGACATTCTTCACAGTTCTGGAGACCAGGAAGTCCAGATTTCAGACACCAGAAAATGTCTGGCAAAGTCCTGCTTCCTGGTTCCAACGTGGTCATCTTCTCATCATGGCCTCAGTCAGTGCAAGGGGCAAGGCAGCTCCCCAGGGCCTCTTTCATAGGAAATTCGTGACCTCATCAGCTCACAAAGGCCTACCTTCTAATGCATAACACTGAGGGTTGGACATTCAACAGACCAGTTTCAGGGGAGCACAAACCTTGTGTCTGTCACACTTAGATATTTGTATCCTACTGCAACTTTCTACCAGTTAGTGGGGATTGAAACTAGGGTCTTTGTACTTTGCCTTCTTTCTTTCTTTCTTTCTTTCTTTCTTTCTTTCTTTCTTTCTTTCTTTCTTTCTTTCTTTTTGATATGGAGAAGTCTCACTAAGTTGCCTAGGCTGGACTTGAATGTATAATCCTCCTGCCTCAGCTTCCAGAGTGTTGGGATTACTATACAGGCTTATACCACCACATCTGGGTGAGATTTTTCTTCATCACACTCTTAATACATTTAAATTCTGCTTCAAGATGTTTGTATAACATATTGGTTTTATTAAAATGCTGTATTTATTTATCACTGGATGACAAATTATGTAATTAATTGGGTTTTCATTTAAAAGTTAATATTTTGTGAGAATTTTTTTAAAATAAAATTTTTAGAGAAATAATTCTTGAGCTGTTATTCTTAAAAACTTAGCTAGTTCCTCAATAAAGTCTGTATCTTTGGTATCATGTAGTATGAACATAAATAATGATGTTAGATTTTACACGTAAGCTCTGACATTATACCTCATTCAAGAAAGTGCAATTTTTCTGTGCCTTCACATTTTTAAAAAGGAAAATTCTTAATCACTGTAGATAAGGAAAAGAACCTACAATATACTTTTTCAAGTCATCTCTTGCATTATTAATTTATGATTACATTTTTTCTAATAGCATTTTTATATGATTTTACTCTACGTTCGAAGACACATAAGAAACAACTGTACACGTATTTGTGTTTGTGGATGCATAAAATATTTCACAAAGCAATGCTCTGAGAAATTCGCTCTGATATTTTCAGTTCTATATTAAGTTTTGTGAAGATGCTGGTCCTGACCCACCTAGTTTGTATTGTAACCCTTTAGGCTGCCTTGTACAGATGAACACTGCTGTTTCAGAGTGGCGGGACAGCGCCTTCTTGTGGTTATAGCCCAGTGTGTTGGTCACACTTCATAGGAGTATGTAAAAGTAAATCGATGCTTCCTTTATGAGAAAAGGAAATTATTTTATAAGGTTCTGTAGTAATATTTTGTGCCCAAAGAAATAAAAAATCTGAACTGAGTTCATTTAAAAGTATAATGATGTTAATCTTATTTTGAAACCTTCAGTTATTCTTGTAGGGAATAAAAATACTTGTTCAGAATGGTTTCTCTATAAACTTAATTTTTAACTCTTTTTGTTTTTTAAATTCTGCCTTTAGGACAGGGTAACCTTCAGGAGAATAATTGTAAAAAACAATGCCAAAAAGAGAAAGATGTATGAAAGCTTTATTGAGTCACTGCCATTCCTTAAATCTTTGGAGGCAAGTATATGTTTATGCTTTAATTCTGCTTTAAAACTTGTATTGCTAAGGGGCCAGGGATATGGCTCAGTGGAATAAGCGCTTCCCTGGCAAGTGCAAGGGCCTGAGTTCAATCACCGGTTCCGCCAAAAAAAAAAAACAAAAAAAAAAAACAAAAAACTTGTATTGCTAGAAATAGTTCCACAGAAAAATTTCTTTGAATGAAAATCCATTGGGAAAGACCATATGGTGATGTTACTTTTTATAATTCAGTATTTTTTGTTTTGTTATTTATAAGTAATAGACTCCTATCCAACAAGTACAGGAAATTTTATATGTGATTTTTAGCTAATAGCAAACTTAATCATGTATGTGTTGGCAAGATCCACCAGTTGTGCTTTAGGTGAGGAGCTACCTAAATACTGAGTGTCTTCATTGGCTTCATCTTTACTGTTATTTCCTCTTAAGATTAGTATCTCAGGCCCCACCCTTCTGCTCCACTTGTCTCTTCCCTTCCCTCTTGCCCCCTCCTCTCTCTGGCTATGGATTTTCACTTGGTGGATGCGTCAAATCCCACGGCCTTACACACTGTGTATATGCTGATAACCTTCTAACATTGTTGCCCATTGGTTATTTAACATCTCCTGCTGGGTGTCTTAGGGACATTGCAAATCTACCACACTCTGAATGTCCTTTTTCCTTCCCATCTTAGTGGACAGCAGCACTATCCTTTTAGTGTCTCGGGAAGGGCCCTTGGAGTTAACACTCACTCTTCTGTTTTCTCCACTGATGACCAATATGTTAGTGACCTTACATGCCCTATTTTTAGAATATATCCAGAATCTGGTTATTTCCTACCAACTTCCCCATCATTCTCTCCTGCTTGGCTTATATCATCTGCAAGCATAACTCTAAAGCGCAGATAAGAGCCTCCACAAGGGACTTGACAGCCCGGCCCTGTTTTCACCCCTGTACTCTCATCGCCCTGTCCTAGACACAAGGCTTCCTGCTGTTGCTCACACCCGCAGCTCTCACCTACTTAGGGGCCTGCACAATTGCCATCTGTCTGCACAGTCCTTCTACATGGGACTGTGGCTCATTCCCTCATCTCTGCATTTCTTGGCCCAGATGTCTTATCAGTGAGACCGCCTGCTTATGTTTTTATCTCTGAAAGTAGAAACTTGGAGAGTTGTTACCCTCAAAATTCAATTTTACTTTCTTTGAATACATCACTGTTAATGCATTTCTAGATATTTTAGTTTCCTATTTGAAATATTTTAGAGTAATTCAAGAGGAGCACTTCTGTGTACCTGTAACATAAGAAGGCAAGTGTCAACATAGTAGTGCTTCTTCTTTCTAGTGTCTGGGATTGTCAGGTTGTGCCTGGTAGAATCTTGGCTGCATTACAGAAAGCATGTTAGGCAGCTGATCTCCTGCAACTTAGTTCTTTAAATAGAAATGGATTGGGTGGAAATCCAATGCCTTCAGACTAGGCCAATAACTTAAAGAAGAAAACCAAGCCAGGAGGGAACTCTGGTGAATTGGGGAACATGTGCTCCCACTAAAGAAACAGCTGCTCTTCCTCCATAGTTTTATTGTTGCCATGTGGGAATTTGGGCTGAGGGTTGCTGAATCTTTGGATTTTTCAAGAGAAGCTGGAAATACAAGTTTGTTTATTTTAAAGTGCTTGCAATTAATGTAACATACAACGTACACACTGCTGAATGATGATTTTGCTGTAGGCTACCACTTTTCAACTTGTCTAATAGGTAAGATTACCCAATTATTGTGTGTCTATTTAATGATGTCTCTCTTTCTTCGGTAGGTTTCTGAACGCCTAAAAGTGGTAGATGTGATAGGCACCAAAGTATACAACGATGGAGAACAAATCATTGCTCAGGTATAGTTGTTTTTTTGCTGTTGGTACTGAGGATGGAACCAAAAGTCTTGTACATGCTAGGCGAGTGCTCTCTCTCCGAGCTGCATCCCTAGCCCTTAAATATTTTTATGTGTAGCTCAGTTTAGGATTATATTGCAAAAGGTTTTTATACATTTGTGTCTTAATAAACTTGATTTCTACAGCTAGTATTTAGTGGTAGATTAAATGACTATTCCAACAAATGTCTGTAAAAATGGTTTAAAAAAACAGCCATTAAGCTACTTGAACATTTTCACTCAAATGAATACCTCCTGATATAAATGTATTAAACTATCGAATGGCTTTCTGAATACTTTTGTAATACGTGACACGAAGCTTGCATGTAGGTATAAGAATTAAGATATCATTTATTAGGAGGAGGGGGAGGAGCAGGAGGAGGAGGAGGAAGAGGAGGAGGAGGAGGAGGAGTGTGCCATGAGATTAGTAAGAGCCCTGCAGTCCGTGGGAGATAGTGTGCGGTTCTCCCTAGGCGAGCCGAGGTGAAACCTCCTGAGGCCCTGCAGATAACATTCACGGAGAAGAGGACGTTCCACCATGCACTTCGCTGGTTTCCAAGTAAAAGTATTAAATAAATTTGTTCTTTAACCCTTAGCACTTTCTGAGAGCCCACTTGGAACCAATAATATTATATACCTCAGCACAGGGCTACTAAAAAGTAGAACATGAAGTTAGTTGAAGTTCACAGCTTGCGGACAGTAGTGCCTTATTTCTTAGTTATATTTTTTGAAGCCCTGAGCAAATGATTTAAGTCAATTTTTAATAGATGCTACAATTTTTAAAATTATAGCATTGTATTACATTGTGTATTTATCCAAGTGCTTCTTTATATGTGGAACAAGACTCAAGGTCTATAAGATCAAGCGAAAAAAAAATCATTGTTCAGAAGCAACTAATTCCAAGCCCCTGTCCTTACACAGTATGAGAGATGTGTGCGTGTGTACTTGGAGTAGAGCAGCCAGGGATTAGGAAGGAATGGGATTAGAATGAAAGGTAAGGCTAAGATTCTACTCTAAACTGTCAAATAACAGAGAGCACTTTTGAATTGTTTGTCTCTGGGTGCTAGGGATTAAGTCTAGATCCTTACACCACACTGAGCATGTGTTCTACCCCTAGCCATGTAGACAGTTTTATTTACTTATTTATCTATAATTTTAAAAAATCTTTTATGTATTTATTGATTTGATACAGCTTGCTGTGTAGCTCAGACTTGTAGTGATCCTCCTATCTCAGCCTCCCCAGCACTGGGATTACAGATGTGTACCACCACACCTGGCTTCAGTGGCCAGCATGGCGCGCCCCGGGGCTCTGGGGCCCATATGGCGTGTGGTGCCAGGGATTGAACTCAGGCCCTTGCACTTGCCAGGCAAGCGCTTATTCTACTGAGCCATCTCCGCGGACCCTGTAAACACTTTTTAAAAGCTTCTGATTTTAAAGTACAGATTTACAAGATGTTGCAAAGTGGGTACGAAGTTCCATGTACTCGTCACCCAGTTCCTCCAAGTGCCTCTTACATCACTTGCGTATGAGATAGAGACTGATGTTGGCACAGTCCAGCTTTACTCAAATTTCACTAGATTTCTGTACATTTAGGACACACTTAAGCAGCTGATAGACCTATTATGATTTGTAACACTTGAAAATTTCCCATGAGGCTCTTAAGAAAATGATATAAAATAAGAGAGGGCTCGGAGACACAGCCTCAGGAAAGTGTGCATGCTTAAGGTACAAGGCTCAACACACACACACACACACACACACACACACACACACGAAAGGAGGCATGCTATGTTTAGGACTTACTAAGGATGTCTTTACATTTTTAGTTATCTTTTAAGCATTTATAATCATGTATTGGTACTGTATTATAGAAATACAGATTCAGCATTCATTTTTGTGGTATAACCTTGAGTTTTACAAACCTGTGTTTTTGCGGAATCATTTTGACAAACTTTTTTTAGAAGCCTATTATTACTCGTCTATATTAATTCAGAGAGCATGTTTGGAAGTCAAGGCAGAGTTCATTGAAAATCGAGAAAACAAAGTGGTGAGTAGTTAGAAATGGCATCCCCTGTTAGAATTTTAGAAGCTCTCTCAAGACCTTGAGGTGGGTTGTCATAAATTGGCATTTTGGAGTTCGGTCCTTGTCCAACTGCAGAGAAATCCTCACGGCTCACCTCTGTGCTTCCCGTGCATCTGAGTGCTTTCTGCGCTTTTTGTCTCATCACCAAGCCAGCGCTTATTACTTCCGGACCCACGGTGTGCATTTTAGCACCTTCCGAGGCCCAGGATCAGCCGCGGATTCCTGCTGACTGAGGGACTGCTGGGTGTACCACAGCACTGCCGTTTCTACCTCTGTGCTGCTAGGCAGGTTAAAACTTGAGGGGACATTGTTAGCCTGTTGTGATTTGCTGTATTTTTATGGCTTTTGAGCAGAAATGCTGTGGTATAGAAGTCTTATTTTTGAAATAATTTCATATGTGAAGCTGTTACTATGTAATTATGACACATAACCTCTCAAATTAGAAAGGAAATAGGCTGTCCCTATGGAATTCACTTTCTGGGCAAATCTCGGTGTGTGGGGTTAGACTGTTTTCAAGAGATCTGTCAATAGAATTTTCATTTCATTGTTTTGTTTGTTTGTTTTGTTCTGATAGGGAGACTTGGCTGATTCTTTTTTCATTGTAGAATCTGGAGAAGTGAAAATTACTATGAAAAGAAAGGTAAGCATTCTTAAATCCTAAAAAAATCCACAATAAATCCACAATAAATAATCACAAGATCCACAGTAGGTTTTCTTTTTACGTTTATAGCAAGGTTAAATTTATTTTTAAAATAAATGTTTTTACTTTGTCAGGGTAAATCAGAAGTGGAAGAGAATGGTGCAGTAGAGATCGCCCGATGCTCTCGGGGCCAGTACTTCGGAGAGCTTGCGCTGGTAACGAACAAGCCTCGAGCCGCTTCTGCGCATGCCATCGGGACGGTCAAATGCTTAGGTAGGGGTCACCGTGGCGGGCGCCGAAGTTGTGATGTCTGCATTATATGTGTTTGTGTGACCCAACACATCATTTCACTGGGTCTCAGATGTTGTGGTCCCTACAAAATACAGTAAAGTTAGGCTCACTGCATTATAAAATCAATTTGTGGAAGCCTATTTGTGGAAGCCATTATATTTGTATTTTACATGCAAATGTATTCATTCCTTTCATATTTTAAATCACACCTTATTTTAATAATTGCAATAAAAGCTACAACTACCAAGTTTTATGTCTAACTTGTTGAGTAGACGTGTGCTACATTCCTCAAGAGAGAAGGCTAGAATAATATCTTTGTAAAGTTCACTGTTTAACCCTTCAGGGGAAGTTGGAAGGTCTGTATGGATACTGTATATCCTCAGCGGAGCATAGGGGCTCCAGAAATGGGGTTTGCTAAAATATCATCAAATGTTATTTGTTGTTTGGTTCTTTATTACTTTCTTGTACTGTAACGACTTGGTAGAAATGCCAGCTTTAGTTGAAAGACATTGTATGTATCTGAGATTTAATATCTGAGAAGTCACTTCAATAATGAAAAATTATTTCAGGAAGTGACAATATAGATGACATTTTCCTTAAGAAAATTGATTCTAGAGTAATTAGCCTGTTCATGTTCTTCATCCTCAATTCAATAGGATAAACTTAGTTTCAGTGTTTTTAAGATTTGCAAGGATCGTCAGAATTAACTTCATAGAGAAGTCACTTTTTTAAAGGTTTTAAATAAGGATATTAGGGGCTGGTGAGATGGCTCAGTGGTCTAAAGCACCTACTTAGAACAAGCTAAGCTAAACAAAGCACAAGGACCACGGTTCAATCCCCCAGCACCACATGCCAGCCAGCCCCGCCCCCTGGTGGGCTGAGCTGGCCACACACACACACACAAATAAATAAATAAAAATTAAAAAAAATAAATAAAAAAAACAAGGATATTAATCAAGCAATGTGCTTAGATGAAAGAGAAGATAATTAGAACTGACAGGCAGTTTCCCTGAGTAGAGCTGTTACTAAGAGGAAAAATAACATGAGTGAAATTCTATTACTCTTTTAATATATCAATATTAAAGTTTGAAAGGCTGGCGTGATAGTCAGCGGACTAAGCGCCTGCTTAGGCAAGCACAGGGACTGTGGTTGGATCCCTGGCATCACAAGCTACACCAGCCCCACCCCCGGCCACGCTGAGCCAGCCACTGAGTCTGGGCATGGTGGTGCACACCTGTAATCCCAGTGCTGTGGAGGCTGAAAACAGGAGGATCACTACAAGTCCGAGTTGCATAGTAAGACCCTGTATCAAATACAAAAAGTAAAAAAGTAAAATAAAGTTTGAGAGATACAGAAAATAATAGGAAAAACAGAATCACTCACACCATCACCACCATTCAGTGATTTCTAGTATATTTTTTTTCATGGATACTTTTCTGTTAAGCTTTATTTATTTATTTATGGTCATTTTTGAGACAGAGTTCCACTATATAGTTCATGCTGACCTTGAACTCACTTTGTAATGCAAGCTGGTTTCAAAACTAGCAGCAATCAATCCTCCTGCAGCAGCCTCCCTAATGCTGGGTTACAGGCATGAACCATTTTAAGCAATTTTGTATACTGCTTTGTTTATCCATTGTAGCTTAGCAGTTTTCTTATTACATCAATTTTTAACATTCTGCAGGTAAATTTTTACAGGATAAGTTGTTCAGTTAATCCCCACTGGTAAATATTTTACAGGTTTTAGCTCCAACCTGTATTTCTGCATGTAGATGCCTTTTCTATATTTTGGATTTTTCCTTAGAAGTGGCTTTCAGAAGTATTTTTCAATGACTTCAGATACATATTTTCAGATCACTTTTATTTTTAACAATTTATATGCCCTAATTGCCCATTTATCATCTTTTTACAAACATTGCTTTTTTTACCTTTGCAAATTTGAAAAGCAAAAGAGATGTATTTTAATTTATATTTCTATGGTAGACAGCACAGTTACATTTTCCATCTGAATCTTACAATCTGAATTACAATCAGAAATTACAAATCTGAAGATTCATTTTGAATCTGAATCTTCCTCAGTTTTCAAACATGTGTGATAGACGTGCTATAATTATATAGCACATAGTTGTAGAAGTGGACAAAAGTATTATATTGACTGCCACTTTGCATTGCAAAGACAGTCTGAGTAAGCACAGTCTCTGAAAGGTAGCATTTAGTGCTCACGGCATAGCATTGGAAACTGAGAACAAGATAGGAAACGCTCCCTGGCCATTTTTAAGGGGTTCATATTACGGAGACGGAGACATTAAAATTTACTGTTGATGTTCCCAGGCTTCACTGCGATTGTCTTTCCTCTTTTTCCAGCTTAGATCAGGAATTGCACCAGCTTAGCGTGCAATGCTGAGGGACCTGTGAGCATAGCCTGAGAAGGCTCTAGGGGCTTCCTTTTAGAAGTGAGATGTTGCAATCTTGATACTTTTTCTTGTAATTTACAGTGTTACCTGGAAATACCCTTGCTCTATCAGGGATAGATCTGTTATTGAGCTATCACAATTACAGTGTCACAGTGGAAATTATAATGGAATGGGTATCATGACTTTTTGTGGAAATTCAGCAGTTTTGCAAAGAACATTATTTTTCATTTATTCTTTGCTTTTCCTAGCTATGGATGTGCAAGCATTTGAAAGGCTTTTGGGACCTTGCATGGAAATTATGAAAAGGAACATTGCCACCTATGAAGAACAATTAGTCGCCCTGTTTGGAACAAACATGGATATTGTTGAACCTACTGCATGAAGCTAACGTACGGAGCAAGAAGACCTGTAGTGACAGAATTACACAGTAGTGGTTAGTCCACTGAGAATGTGTTTGTGTAGATGCCAAGCATTTTCTGTGATTTCGGGTTTTTTTCCTTTTTTTACATTTACGATGTATCAGTAAACAGTAGTGATTTAATAGTCGATAGGCTTTAACATCACTTTCTGATGAGTAGTTAATACAAAATCAGCATATTGATAAAATGACTTTCTACGCCACAAAATTATTTGAAAGTTTTATTTAAATGATTGTAATATATTGAAAGTACCCATGTTTAAGAAGATAATTAAAAATACTATCTTAGGCAGTATGTGTTTGACTTACTCAAATGAATATTACATTAGTGACTGCCCGTGGAAGAGGGCATCATGCTCCACAGCGCGGCACCTTGTTCTTTTTATAATACATTATATAGTAAAATTTTAATCATTTTCATTTTAAAGTTTTCCTGGCTTGATAAGTTGTGTGTTAGCCTTGGCCCGTGGGTGAAATGGTATGAAACATCATATGCAATTTTAAGACTTTTTATATTTTTGCAATAACATACATTTTGACTTCTTTGGCATAATGTCAGTAACCAGTGTATTCCAGTGGTTTTAAGGACTGGCAATTTAGCTATTACGATAGAAAAAGTCTTTTAAAGATGAGAGTTCATTAATGCATTATTTTCCTCATTAAACCTATATATTTCTGCTTTCCTTTTTCATTCTGTAACTTGCTATATTCTTTATCTTTAATTTTGACATTTAATGTCAAAAAGTTTTTTAAAGCTATTTGAACTTGTTAAACCTGGTTTTTATTGTCTTCTAAAAGCCCAAGAGATTACACTTAAAAACAACCCTCCTTACTAAATACATGTACATGTCTGCATAATCGCGTTCTTCACACAATCTGCTGCTGTGGGTTCCTGGTCTTCCCCTGTGGTTGCCAGCCCACAGACTCGGCAGCAGCCAGTGTGGTTCATCCGCCTCCCCCCGCAGAAAAATTCTTCAAAGGTGGTAGGAATAAAATTTTATGAGCGAAACCATGTATAACCATAAAAGGAATTTCTGCCCATACCAAATAAACCATTAAGCTTTGCCAACTGCTTTATGCCAACTCCCACTTAAAAAGTACAGAAAACTTAAAACTTCTGGGTTTTCCTTGACCAATGACATGCTCATTGAAGATGCCATAGAGGATAAATTAAATTATATTCAACCAAAACAATATACTCTGATTCTTAGGCAATGACCCAGAGTCTATAGATATTACTCCCAGGTAGTTGTTTGCTTTTAAATGGGCAATTTCATTTTGGGAAATATGTTTCAGAAGAATATACATGGGTAAAATTATTTTGTGACTATTATAGTCTTATTAGATAATGTTTATGGTCCTACTTGTATATGAAAACATGGCTAGAATGTTAATTGGATAATGTATATATAACAAATTAAAGTATGTAAATTGTAACTTCAGCCACATTTTAGAAAACTGTTTATTATCTTTGCCAAAACCTTCTTGTCGAATGTGAAAGTCTCTCTACATGAGGAGATCTTGTTTACTATTTTAGATTTTAAAAGCCATGTCTGTTAAGGAAAAATACAAAGAAAAAAGCCTACCCAAACTTCTTGTTCATCATTCTGTATTCATTATTCACTTTTTCAGGTTTATCTCTTTTGTTGCATAATCTGATTGTTAATTAGTCATGGAACAGTAAATAAATGCCTGTTTAATAAAGAACTCTGACTAAGGCTACAAATGCCAGTTATGTTATTTTCAGTATTGTTGGTTATATTTAAATTTTCCTTATAATAAAGCACACTTTTTATAATAAATATGAATTGCTGTTTTTAATACTTTTTTGCTCATTTACTATAACTTGCAACGGGCACAAAAGCATGACATGTGGCATGTGACAACACAGCAAGGAAATACAGTGTGATTTTGTATGGCAGCAGGGTTGTCTTTTAAGATTTTACCTTTTGATCATATGCAAGAGAAATAACTGTGGTATGTTGTACATTTGGCCATTTACGATAATGAACCTGGCTAACTAGGAAATTTATATGTACTATTATCTAATTAAAATAGCTTGTTTGACTTGTGGATGTCATTATCACTCTTAACGCTTGAGAATTCCTTACTGAAGTTTTCACTCAAGGTTGAAGCCACTTGATACCTATTACATGCGGCTAAGGAAAGGGTGAGAATTCTTCTTGGAAAACAAAGCTGCTTCCCCTTGTTCGTAGTAAATAGAAAGTTGGTAGCTGTGTTTCTTACACACCAGTCTGAATCAGAGCTTTGTGCGTATATTTTTAACATATTTTGACATACATACCATCTGTTGGGTGAATAGATTTGGGTTACTGTTATAACCTTGGCTGGTGATTGTTTCAAATGTTTTAAAATGCTTCAAGTGAAATGGTATGAAACAAGGACCTCAGATTTTATTGAAAAGTATTAAGATGAAAAGTGCTGAGTTATTTTTCTTTGCAAAGTATCTTCAAAAGTATTGGTAAAACCTGGGTGGGTTGGTTGGTACAGACCTAAAATTCCAGCAGCAGGAGGCTGAGACAGGATTTTTATTTTATTTTTTTGCCAGTGTAAGCCCCATCTGAGTAACTCAGTGAGATGGTCTTAAGACAAAAAATAAAAAGGCCTGGAATGTAACTCAGTAGGAGTCTCCAGCTCTAAAAGAAAAAAAAAAAAAAAGCTTTCAACAAATACTATATTTATTAAAAGGAATAGAATATCTTCAGAATTATTAAAGTAATGTATAAGCTTGGAAATGTTCCATATGGAATAAGCCAAGATCTATTAAGTAGCTGGAGAAGAGATTCTGATATTTACATAAGTTGTTCCTACCCAGTCATAACAAAAATTGAAAGTAGCCCAAGGTACAGCCTGAGAATGTGTTTAAAAATTTTTAACAAAAAGTTAGAACGAGAGTTGAGACAACCTTACGTGTTCTGTAATACTTTTAAAGGCAGCAAAACTGGTTGAGCAACTGAGAATAGTTGCTTGTCTTCACAGGTATTAAAAAAAACACAAGTGTAATGAGCGAGGTGAGGTAAACAGTAAAGGGCACCAGTTTTCAGAGGAGTTGTGTGCTCAACAGTAAGCATGACAGTTCAGTTCAGTTTGTATACCAGTGGGAATCAGTGACTTCAGCACTTTCCTTTGTGATGACAGAACTCATAGAAAACTGACAGCTTTTGGTTTCTTATCCAATTCTTGGCCATTTTTCAGGTTTGCCTATTAGCATAGTATTATATAGAGAAGTTGGAACATGAATTACTAACCTTGTATATAGAGAAATTTGTATGATGTTTCCAATGCAGATAGATGATTTTGAGATGAAAGTATTTCATTTAACCAATATATGTGGGTCCTTAGCTTTTCATGTTTTAAGTTTATAAATCTAAAATTTCCTTGAAAAGCCTAAAGGTTTGTCATCTGTACAGGTCAAGATATGAGGCATGATATGAAAGTATTTGTCTAGTGCCTCATTTTTTTTTTCAGTTGTATTTTTTTTTTTTTACATTTATTTATTGTGTGTGTGTGTGTGTGTGTGTGTGTGTGTGGGTGTGTGTGTGTCCAGCTCAGCCCACCAGGGGGCGGGGCTGGCTGGCATGTGGTGCTGGGGGATGGAACTGCGGTGCCTGTGCTTTGCCAAGCTTGTTCCAAGTAGGTGCTTTAGACCACTGAGCCATCTCTCCAGTCCTAGTGCCTCATTTTGGGAAGGTAATTTTTTTAAGATTTTAACCATAGCATGAATCTTGCCATTTTCCTAAACAAGGACATTGTAAAATGTGTATATATAAAATATTTTACTCGTTCTAATGCCTTGATTGTGGCATGTTAGTATTTTTCTTTTTTTTTTTTTTAAACTGAACTAGAAAAATAAAATGACTTTTCTTCCAGGCACAAGTAAGTACATACTGGGCTTTGAAACAACAGCAATAGCCTTGGCTTTTTAATGCAACGATCCAAATGTGAAACATGAAGTATTTTGAACTTGAAAGAACTTCAGGTCCCCTAAGCAGTTTATGCAGCAAATATACACAGGCACAATCGTGGGTAGAATCACTTCTAAATTGCTCATTTTCCATCTTTGCTTTATTTGAAAACCCACAAGAAAGTCAACCAACTCTGGGATTTTTATGAGTTCTTTTAGATAAAAGCCTGATATTTAATACAAACCTTTATATGATGACTATTCTTGAAATACATACCAGTGAAGTAATATTTTTTAATTATATTTATTTATTTATTTATTTATTTATATTTTGTGTGTATGTGGCCAGCTCAGCCCACCAGGGGGCGGGGCTGGCTGGCATGTGGTGCTGGGGGATTGAACCGCCGTCCCCATGCTTTGCTTAGCTTAGCTTGTTCTAAGTAGGTGCTTTAGACCACTGAGCCATCTCACCAGCCCCTTGAAGTAATATTTTATTTTGAGATAAGGTGCTAATAATAATGAAGACATTTGATACTGTATTTCTCATTGTTCTGTAAAGCTCAATTTAAAGGTGTCCTGGGGGCGTTGAGGATATAGCTCAGCAGTCTAAGCAGCTGCCTGGTAAGTATAAGGATTGGGGATCCATCCCCAGTCATGTAATCACACAAATATTTTGTTTGAATGTGCATGATTGGCCTTTGTAAGGGAGACAAAAATGAATACTGCTTATATAATGTAGCTGTAAGATAACTGTTCTCAAATAATAGTAGTACTATCCCTATGATTTTAATTGTTCTTTACCAGATTTAATTGCCCCTAAACTGAGGCTAGGAAATAAAAGCAAATGCATACAGAAGACCATAGGTTAAAAAATCAGCATGAGCAGAAAATAATACTGCTGTTTGTTATATATAACAAATTATTCTAGGAAACTTTGTGACAGACATGACCAGTCATCTGAGCTTGATTTTATGGAACATGAGATGCAGTACAATTAGTTGTTGCCGTCTCTAGATAATCACGTTTTCATTAATACCATCTTGGACAACTTGACAAAAAATTTTGAGGTCAAATGAGAACAAAGAGGGTAGCCTTATACTGAGGACATCCACAATTCTGTAGACTTGGAGATCTTAAAAGTGCAGATGAATGTATTTAGCTGTCTTCAGGACCTTTTAACCTGAATTTCTTGCCTGCACAGCAAGTTCAGCATCTAAAATTGAACCCACCTTTTCTCTTCCTCAAGTTCCCAACTCTTCCTCTTTCCGGTATTGTCCATCTCAGTCAAAGGAAACCATAAATCTCAACTACGTAAGCCAGAACCTCAGCACTCGTTCTGGCTTCCTCATCCATCGATTTTATTTCCTAATGGCTATAATAAGATACCCATATAGCAGCCCCTGAAGACAGGCCTTGCTGCTTTATGGTCATCTTAGTAAAATCCAAACTTAGTTGCATCAGTAATTACCAGAACAAGAAACATACTACGCAGTTTTATAGCCGTGCTCATTAGCTGCCAGCCATTTCATTACAGTTTGTTTATCTGACTACTTAGAATTTTTGAATGATTTTCAGGAATAGTAAGGTGTATGGAAGGATATTTATAAGAAATTATCTGAAAAAGCTCAAATATTTACTAATTTAGAACATTCATTAACTTTATTTCCTGCTTATATTATTTGTTGGTTTGTTTACCTTTGGGCAGTTTGAACTGAGGTATTCCCGACAGTCAGGCAAATGCCACGTGCTTGCACTTATTTCTTATACTAGGAAAGCAGTTACTGGTGTGCCAGACATGGTAGAATTACAGTATTTTGCTTCTACAATTGGACATTAGTTAAATCTTTTTTTTTTTTTTTTTTTTTTTTTTTTTTTACCAGGGATTGACTGACTGCATTTTTTTTTGGTTTTAAATTGTTTTTATTGGTATATATTTGCATTACACAGTAATTACATTCCTTGTAGGGAGCTGGTACATGTGTATAACACAAGCTAGTAAAATCTTAAATAGGCTTTTCTAGGGTCACTTTTCTAAAAAATTAGAACTTGGTGTTTATAACAATTCCTCAAACCACTGAAAATACTGAGATGACAATTTTTTGATACATTTTGGCATATATAGAGAGATGTATATACATAAATAGCAATATACCTATATAATTGGGTCCACACTAAGATGTGTTAAGCTGATTTTTTAAATGCCAGTTTTATCATGGAATGATCTGAAGGCCCATGTTTTAAGAGTGTAACTTTAATACATAAAGCATTCCAAGGACAGCTCACTGGTTGTCTTTGATCTTTGTTCTGGCCTATGGTTTGGCTGATTTTGTTACTGAAGCATTCATGAAGGTGTAGTGCTGTGGTAGAGTGTGTAGCACGCATGTGGAAGGCCTAGGGTTTAATCTGTAGTACTTACTCCATAACCCCAAAAAGTAAAAATAAAGATCTTTTGTTTCATTTTGCAGTACTAGGCATTGAATCCAGCGCCCACATCCCTAATATTCTTTCATTTTTTTTTGAGACAGATCTCACTAAGTCCTTAAATTGCCCTGGGCTAGGCTTGAACTTGAAATCTTCCAGCATTAGTCTCCTAGGGTACATCTGGGCTTATAGGCCTGCACTACAGTGCTGTGTCTTTTCTTTCTTTTTTTTTTTTTTAAGTATTAATGATGATCCCATCATTAATACACGTAAGATACTAATATGGTCATTTAGCTTCCAGGGAAGCCAAAAGACAGGCCCATCTGTCCACTAACTGTTATAGGGATTTCTAATAGGTGTTTTCAAT